GAACAGCATGGAAAGCACCCACAGAGAAATAGCCCTTACATGGCTGCAGATAACTTATGAATCAGTGTTCATCCTTGGTTGACTCAGCCCTGAGTGACCACGTAAAGAGCACCCATCAGTTGTCTTCAGCATAAAGAAGTGTTCAGAGTTTAGCACAAGAATCCATTACATGAACTTGCCAGTGACATCCTATAAGGAACAGGTGGTCTGCATACCATATGGTGTTTTCTGTTGCTGTTTAAAACACCACAACTGCAATGTTATGTTCACTCTGATCCTGCCATTGGTCAATCTATTCTGGTAAATATGACCAGGCATATGGTAAATTAAAAACTCTTTAGTGTTCAAAGAGCAACATAGCTCCAAGAGCACTTCTTTTCTTCTAAGTTCCAAAGTGTTCTCCTCAAAGTTCTGCAAGAGAAACTTTGATCTATCTTCAATAAGACTGTCGCACCTAACTAGGGAAATACGGTGGTACCCCGGGTTACATACGCTTCAGATTACAGTGGTATCTCAGGTTAAGTACTTAATTCGTTCCGGAGGTCCGTTCTTAACCTGAAACTGTTCTTAACCTGAAGCACCACTTTAGCTAATGGGGCCTCCTGCTGCCGCTGCACCGCCGGAGCACGATTTCTGTTCTCATCCTGAAGCAAAGTTCTTAACCCGAGGTACTATTTCTGGGTTAGCCGAGTCTGTAACATGAAGCGTATTTACAGTGGTACCTCAGGTTACATATACTTCAGGTTACAGACTCCGCTAACCCAGAAATAGTACCTCGGGTTAAGAACTTTGCTTCAGGATGAGAACAGAAATCGTGCTCCGCCGCCGCAGAAGCCCCCATTAGCTAAAGTGGTGCTTCAAGTTAAGAACAGTTTCGGGTTAAGAACGGACCTCCAGAACGAATTAAGTACTTAACCTGAGATACCACTGTACTGATTCCGGATTCCAGCCCCCACAGAGGTCTATGAATGCAGGCTTCCCCTTTTCAGACGTCCATCCTAAGCACGTGGTAAGTCAATCTTGCAACCACAGGCAACGGCACAGCTTCACTGCCCTTTTAAGCATGTGGAGCCCCTTCACACAATTAACACATGAAGAGGGACTATAAAATAATCCTGTTCTAGTCCTGCAGTTTATAGATGTGAATACATACATGCATGTAGAACTGGATTAGGGAAACTTCAGCCCTCTTGATTTTGTTGCGCTACAAACCCCATTATCTCTGATTCTTGGCCATACTGGTTGGGGTCGATTGGAGCTGGAGCTGGAGTCCAGCAATATCTGGTCCAAACAATTCCCCACTCTGATCAAGGACATGGCAATCCAGGTCTAGATACCGTTCCCCCCAAAAAAAATCACTCCCCCCCCAAACACATACGACACTTTCTCCCCATGTCCAAGTGTTCATATAAAAAGTAAATTTTAGAGATGACACAACTACACACAAATCTCAACATTTCTCTACACAGTCCAATAGCTCTCTAAATATATATTTAGCAAGAAAAGGAACTGGTGGGGTGGGGAAGAGTTTCAATCACTGAACTGTATTCACTTACGGCACAAATGCAAATATACCACAAAGGGATGGATTCTAGAACAGGACGCATGTGCGAATAGCAAAGCCATGAACCACAAATATATGTCAGTCACACTCGTGGCAACTTGCTCAACCTTCTTAAGTTTCATTCGTCCCCCCTAACGCATCTCAACTCATGTATCCAATACATGGCCTGTGTATAATATTTGAGCACTAGGTAAGAGGAAGGCAGGGAACCTTCTTATGAGGAAAATGAAGGTGAGCAGGGCTTTTTCTCCAATTCCAACAGGTGGGCGCCATTGCCATTGTAAGAGGACAAGGGAGGCGTCCATGTTGAGTTCCGGCACCCCTTTTTCTAGAAAAAACAGCACTTAAGGTGAGCCTAGTGTTAACCACTGACATACAGTCAAGAGGTATGTAAAATTATGAAACAAAGATGAAATAAATATATCTCAAAACAAGTAAAATAATGAAATAAAGAATGAAGAGGAACAAGCAACCATCCTCATCCACAGTCAATGGCCTCAAGTTATTGGGGCTACCACTTCACTACACATTTAGGGATCCCAGTGCTGTTCAACAACAGGGCAAGAAGTGGTTCCTGCGGCCTTCCCTAGAGGTGGGCAGAAAGAGAGATGTAGAGGGCACTGGGGTGTCTTGCCTTGTAAAGGGACCCCTGACCATTAGGTCCAGTCATGGCCGACTCTGGGGTTGTGGCGCTCATTTCGCTTTATTGGCCGAGGGAGCCGGTGTGCAGCTTCCGGGTCATGTGGACAGCATGACTAAGCCGCTTCTGCAAACCAGAGCAGCACACGGAAACGCCGTTTACCTTCCCACTGGAGTGGTACCTGTTTATCTACTTGCACTTTGACGTGCTTTCGAACTGCTAGGTTGGCAGGAGCAGGGACTGAGCAACAGGAGCTCACCCCATCGCAGAGATTTGAACCGTCGACCTTCTGATCAGCAAATCCTAGACTCTGTGGTTTAACCCACAGCGCCACCCACATCCCTGTCTTGCCTTGTACTAGCCGACAAATTGCTGAATGAGTTCCCATCTCTCTCGGGAATGTGTTAGGTGGCTGCAGATGACTCATTATTGTTGCACTTCCTATGCACTCCAGAACCCCTTATAACTTCCAGGCCCTGTATAAAAAGGTCAACAGTGTCTCAGTACTGTAACAGGAATGGAGGGTTTCCAAGTAGTTGAATGCACACTGTAGTAAGTTACGGCTGTCTGTATTGACTCTCTATTCACCCATCACAAAAGAAAAAACTCACGGGGCAAGAGACTGAACAGAATTACTAGACAGCCTCCCTTTTCTCCTCCTCTTTCTGCTTACAAATTAGACACCCAAATCCAACAAACCACAAACATTTCGATACTATCAAGTCATTTGTCTTAAAATGTCAAGTCACACGGTCACCACACAATCCAACAGAATTTGTGGGAAGAACAAGCGAATTGGCTTGCATGGTTTTGCCAAATCCTGGGCTCTGTTGTGGTGAGCAAGTTTATATGGCATCAGCATGCAAAGAAAAGAAGATGTCAACTGCGACTTGCGTGGAGATTTGAGCTTACACTGGCAACTTTCCCAACGCAGCTGAACAAAGAGTAAGAGAAGGCACAGGGTGGTACACAGTAATCTCATGCAATCAGTAATTTTTGATTCTTCACTCAATCTTCCCCATACTTCTAAACTTTTATTATTTTTATGCTGCTTCACTCTAATTTAGATCTGCCTTAATTTCCAAGACAAGCTGTTGGAAATAAGGAGACAACTGCTCTCCCAGAAAGAGGATAACCAGAACTAATGAGCAGCTTTCATTTTGGAGCACACAATTACAATCAAGTTGAACGCGACAGTGAGGGGAGGGGAAAACCGGGGGGGGGGGTCTCTTGTGTGGCTGAGGTGCTTCCACCTGGCACTACTTCTACTAGTTCAGTTTGCAAAGGAAGAAAAGGAAGCAGGCAGGCAAAATGAGAGAGGAAGAAGACGGGAAAACTGCAAGGATGCACAGGCCACACAAATGTCACATTAAGACAGCTGCCACCATTGAGCTTCTGGGAGTGAGTGAGTGAGTGAGTGAGTGTGTGCGAAGGCACCATTAAGTTTACACATGTAGAAGCCTATTTCACATTGAAACAGTCTAGCCATCTTAAACCGTCAACTGTAATCCTCTTGATTACAATTACTCTCTATCACAATGTGTCATGGAAAATTATAGGAGTGTTCCATCACAACGCGCCTCAGGTTCAGAATTTGTTTGCTTTTGTACACAGTAGGCTAGTACACCCACTCAGAAACCCCCCTCTGCCTTCCTTCCAGGCAAACTGGAAGCATCAATGGCACATTCCAACCATTGGGGGGACGACCACTCAGTGTGGGTGCAACTTGTATGGAACAATCCCAGGGATGTTTTTGTGCTGATTTTGTCCTCATATGTTATACACCGCCTTGAAATGTTTCAATAAAAATGCCGATTATAAATATGCAGATAAACAAACAGAATGTTGACAGGAACCACCACCTAAAGTCTGTGAGAGTGTGGCACTCCATTTGCTACTACTTCTATTATTAATAATAATATTAAATGATCAACTGCAGTCCCAAGGCCGATTGCAACAATTTAAAATACAACATTAAAAACAACTTAGAGCAGTGTTTCCCAATTAGCTGTTTTTCAAAGCCCAAGCCATGGTCCTGTTACTTTTGAAAATTTCAATAACTCTATGGTAGTTTTTGTTATGTGGGTGGCGCCACAGTCCCTCCGGGGTCCACGGACCACCAATTGGTAACCACTGACTTAGAGCAGGCATGTCCAACAGGTAGATCGTGATCTACCAGTAGATCCCTGAACAGCTGTGGTGGATCACTGGGTCCCCAAAGAAGTTCAGAAAGTTTGCCCTGCATGCTAAGAAACTGTGCTTTTCCTCCTCTCAAAAAAAAGCTCAAAAAATTTGACCTGAACCCCCCAAAATGGGGTAGATCACTACCAGTTTGAGTAGATCGCAGTCTCTTGGGAGTTGGCCACCCATGACTTAGAGCATTTGGCCTGGGCCTATGTAAATTTCATCAAATTTGTGGCTGCAGTGGCAATAAAGAAGAATCAATCATTCTCCATTGGGGGGCGGGGAGTGATGACTACAGTCAGAGCTGCACATACAAATTGCTGCCTGGCTGGAATAAGCTGAAGTGGTACAGCAGTTAAGAGCATGAGCTGGAAAGTCCTTCCACCGTACCCCTCCTAGGTGGCCTTAAAGCAGCATTTGTCTATCAGCCCCCATCTGCTGCCTGTAATAGGAGGATAATAGTGTTGGTCAACGTTAACTTGGAATTGCCCGCGCCACACCCATTTTGTCAATAGCGCAGGTGGTTTTTGAACAATATACTGGGTATTCTGAATTACCGAAGAGTCCAAAGCTCGTCTTACTCTTGAAGCTTGCCGTAGCCACCGCAAACCAGTATGGGTTTAAGGTATGTCACCTTCATTCTTCTCCTTTCTGATACTCCCTCCAATAGTTAGTCCAAGGTAAAGAGCTGAACAAGTTCAAGTAGAGGGAACCAGACAAAGGGCCTTCTCAGTGGTGGCACCCGCCCTGTGGAATGCCTTCCCATCAGATGTCAAGGAAATAAACAACTACCTGACTTTTGGAATACATCTGAAGGCAGCCCTGTTTAGGGAAGTTTTTAATGTTTGATGTTTTATTCTGTTTTTTCTGTTGTGAGCCACCTGGAGTGCCTGGGGAAAACCAGCCAGATGGGTGGGGTATATTATTATTATTATTATTATTATTATTATTATTATTATTATTATTATTATTATTATTATTTTCCTCCACCACCAGCTCCTCTACACATGAGATTTAGAAATTCACTTCAAATAAACTGGATTTCTTCACACCCTCAATGAAATCTCCTTCAGCTATCTCATTTCTCGGTTATCAGAGAAATGTTTTTCTCTGTCCTGAGACAACATGCTTCTTATCTGAAAGCAAGTTGCAGGTGGAACAAAAGTTATAAATTCTGTTCAAACAATACACAGCTACTAAGTGTTAGGTTAGTAGCCACTAGATTCTACAATAGTAAGGATCACTGAAGCGGCTCGGGAGTACCCCTTTCGTTAAGGTGAGTAGCAAAAACCAAACAAATACATTTTGCTAGTATAAACCTAAAACTTCTGTAACTTATCAAAATGACAATAGTTGAACTAAAAATGTAAAGCATGCCATAAATCATCCCCCTGATGAAGTCTAGTCTTGTGCCAAATTTCAAAATGATCCACTGAAAATCGCCAACGATACAGTAACACATACACGATTGACCCCTTTTACTCCAATTTTTATACAATCTTGTCATATATTTGTTTCCAATTTGGGTGGGAAGCTATGGAGTAATTCAAGCTCCTTGAAGACATGTTTTCATTGGTTTCATGACGTTCTGAGGAGCACTTCAAACGTTATTATGGTTTTATTGCCCCATTAAGGCCTATAATAGCCACTGTTGGCAAAATAATATGATGTGTGTGCCGTATAAATACTGAAGCAATATTCATGGACCGTTCTTCAGTGTTTGCAGAGGGAGCCACCTAGCGAATAGGATGTGTAAATGCCTGTTGTTTTAGTTGTGGGACCGACCAGGAGACACCAGCCGTTGGGCTGTGGTCACATTTGGAAGCCTGATACATTACTGTGGGCACCGCACAGATCCCCCAAGAACATGATGTGCACATTCCACAACTACACACATCCTAACACACACACACTGCTGCCCCACACATCCCAGCACATACACAGAAACACACACACACCACAGACACTCCACCCAGGCATAAACAGTTTACTCACTGAAGGATTCCTGTAGCAATATGGCAAGGCTCAAGTGTTTCATAAGTCATTACAGGGCCAAAACAATGTGGAGCATCTTTGCAGGTCCAGGCACTTCATTGAGGCCTGAGAGACCAAAGAAAAACGTGGGGGCACAGATAGCAAATTTTAAGCTTGTGGTGTGGCACAACTGTTGTCGCAGCATGTTTCTCAAAGCATCGGCCTTAGCTTCCTGTTTCCTGGCTTTGTGGAGCTTGAGAGGCAGCATGAGATAGCCTTAACTCTGGTCAGCCTTAACCGAAAGGTCTCTTGATCGCTGAATGGCAAAGCCTTCCACCAGTTGGGGGTAAGTGTGCTTTTAATAAAGGCACCTGCTCTTCCTTTACTTTCCAGCATTCCACGTGGATCTTCAAGTCAAAAGAGCTGATGTTCAAATCGGCCTCCTCCATTCCTGAAGGCAGCTTGGTCTACGTCAGTGAAGGGAATGAAGCTTTCTTCCGAACCCCCAAGGGATGGAGCAGGCTTCTGGTAGGAAAACATTGGGACACTGATGTGCATGACTCTGTAGATGTGCAGCACTCAGACTCGCTCAATATCTGATACACAAGCATCTGGTTGGCCACCATATGAAACAGGAGCATGGACAGCCACTTACCAGGGATGATGTTGTAGTGGGTTTATTGCATCAGCAGGAGGTAGGACTGCTCTACGATTCCCTGGACTGTTTAGACCCTTTGACCTGATCCAAGAGGGCTGCTCAGCTGCTCTCTTTATTTTTAAAAATCAGGATGAGATTAACTTATGCTTTTGTGGATCACTTGCTTGAGCTACCTGGGCAATGCTTGCCCTGATGGCATTTTTTAAAAAACTTTTCGCACATGAGAACAAATGCTCATTTTTTTACATGTTTCAGTCCAGCCTTATCCCTGTTATGTTTCTATTGTCTCTTGATCAGCTGGAGGATTCAGAGTCTTTACTGGTTGGAGATGACCCTTCGGTGTCTACAGACAGAAATCAGGTATGGACTTCTTCCAACTTGTAATGCTTTGCCATTGCCTATTCAGCAGGTCTCCTGGGTTTTGTTCTGGCATAAATTAAAGGGCTGAAAGTGGGGAGAGCAAAGAAACCGAAAGCCCATAAAATATTACACCCATTTGGGTGGCGCACTTGCAGAAGAACATAGTTAACTGCTGGATAAAGTAATGATGAAATTAAGTGATATAAACCCCTTTGAGTAATAAATTTCATCTATTTGTAAAGCACCTTGTCTACACTCCAACAACTCCTTACTCCAGCCTCAGCAGGCCTATTTAATTCTTCTCAACAACTGCCCCACCACAGCTACGGACAGGCAGAAAACTCTTACTGGGAACAGGCTGCATGCACTGCTGCTGCTAGCGCCTTCATCACCTTCCTAGTTCTCTTGCACTCCGTGCATAGCTAGTAGGAGGGGCAGATGGTGTCTGGGGTGGCAATATTTGCTGCAGTTTATGTGTGCATGCAGTATTTGAGTTTAAGCTGAGTCACATTAAAAAATGGTTTTGTTTCACTGTGTATCCTGTCTTCCTAGGTCCAAAACGACAAGAGCCAAGCAACCGTCCAGACTGTACCACCTAGCATTCCCCAGAGGATCCCTTCAGTAAGTTCAACAGGAGAGGAGTGTAAGGCAGTCAAGCTGCTGGCTTTTCTTCTTCTTTTTGAGTGTTGTCTCAGGCAAAGAATTTCGCAGCAGTGGGTGGGGAGGGACATGGGTGGCACTGTGGTCAAAACCACTGAGCCTCTTGGGCTTGCTGATCAGAAGGTCACCAGTTCAAATACCCACTACGGGGTGAGCTCCCGTTGCTCTGTCCCAGCTCCTGCCAACCTAGCAGTTTGAAGGCATACAAGTGCAAGTACAGTGGGACCTTGGTTCTCAAACTTAATCTGTTCTGGAAGTCTGTTTGACTCCCGAAACCATTCGAAAACCAAGGCGCGGCTTCTCATTGGCTGCAGGAGCTTCCTGCACTCAATCGGAAGCCGTGTCAGACGTTTGGCTTCTGAAAAAAGTTCACAAACCGGAACACTCACTTCCAGGTTTGCAGCATTCGGGAGCTGATTTGTTTGGGGGCCAAGCCGTTTAACAGCAAGGGACCACTGTAGATATATAGGTACTGCTGCAGTGGGAAGGTAAACAGCATTTCCGTGCACTCTGGTTTCCTAGTTTCCGTCATGGTGTTCCGTTGCGCCAGAAGCAGTTTAGTCATGCTGCCCACATGACCTGGAAAGCTGTCTGTGGACAAACGCCAGCTCCCTCGGCCTGAAAAGCAAGATGAGCGCCGCAACCCCATAGTTGCCTTTAACTGGACCTAACCATCCAGGGGTCCTTTACCTTTACCTTTTTTTAATAGACCTTGCTGTACCAACCTCTTCTTTCTGGAGGCCCCCTTGAAGATAATGGTGCAAAATCTGGCAAGGCCATAACAAGAACCTGGCTGGTTGATTAACACCACTCCTCTGGTTGATCTACTCCACCTTGTTGTCCTCCTTAGGTGTCAAGTGTTTAACTAAAATCCCTCAATTTTTCTAGCTCCGCCTAGTGGCCCTCAACATCCCCCTGACCGGTAGCATGAATGGGATTGGTGGCGTTGACCTGCGGTGCTATCGGCAATCACAGGAGGCGAAGCTGCGTGGAACTTTCCGGGCCTTCCTGTCATCATCCACCCAAAGCCTAGTCTCCATCGTGAAGAGAAGTGACAGGAACCTGCCTATTGTCAACCTTAAGGCTAGTAGCAACATCCTGTTGAATTCTTGATTTGATGCAGACATCTTTTCTGAGGAGAGCACTGGTACCTGATGAAAAAGGCATGTGGTGCTTGCCTAGCAACTGCCCAACTAATTCTCATGATAAGTGATAACCCTAGCAGGCACTCCTGTGTTTTTGGGAAGGGCAGGATTCTTGTGCCTTCCACTGCTGTGGCTGAGGCACTTGGGATGTAGAATAATGTTGTGGGGCCTACAGCTTCTGCTGACTGTTTTCTAGCTTGAAAAGCATTGTTTCTGTTGCAGGGCCAGCTGTTGGCAAAGAGTTGGAATTCCCTCTTCAGTAGTGCTGCTCGTTTCAATTCCCCAAAGTCCCCCATCTACACATTCAATGGGCGCAATGTCATGACGGATCCTATGTGGTGAGTAACATGTGGGGAAAGAAAGCATCTGTAGGGATATGTGACCATATGGGAGGTACAAGCAGGGCATCCCAAACTATATTCACCAGTTCCCCCATAAGTGGGACTGTACCTAATTGGGGAATATCTAGGTGGGGGAAATATTCAGGAGGCCCAGAAGGGGCAAATTAATGGGTAATGAGGTCCAGCATATTAGATTTTTGGGGAAGGTTTTTGAAGCACACAGGTGAGGAGTTCAGAACCTACATCTTGCCTATTGCATACCTCCCCTGCTCGCCAGCTTGTCTCTCCATGTGCTTTTCTTCTCTACTTACCACGAGTAATGGAAGGAACCATGACCATGGACTCACCTATACAGCTGCAAATAAAACGTTTTAAGTTTGCTGTAAAGTACAATACACAAATGTGACACTAGATGGCGACCATGAGCTATGGCACATTCAATATATTTTTCAAAACTTTTTTTTAAAAAAGCATTTTCACAGCGTTTTTTTAATATGTGTGTAGATTCCACCTATCTATGAAAAACACCTGGGCAGAGGAGCTGCTGGGAGGTGTAAATGGAATCTGCAGGAAACACTGGACCCAACATTCAGACCCAACCTCTTTCTATGCTATTGGGATGATAGTTCCACATTTAAAGACATGCAACCACAGCCATTGTGTCTAGTTTGGCCCTTGGGAATAATGGATTGAGACAAGACAGGATGGGTGTTTTTTTGTGCCATGCAGTTGACTTCAGCTATCCACTTTTGTATATCCCTGCTGTTTGTATGTTCAGGAGACAAAAGGCAGTCTGGCACGGTGTCAAACAACTGGGAGGCCAGGCCGAAAATCAAGACTGTCAGGAGTGGCGAACAGCCTCCAGCCAGTCCAAAGGCCTTGCCTCACCTCCAGCCGGAGGCAAGTTCCTCACAGCGGATGCACATAACTGCTCAGACTTCCTGGTTGTTCTGTGCGTGGAAAATGCCTTCTGAGATGAGTGCAGCTTCAGATCAGCAAGGAACAGCAGAAGGAGCCATTTGCTACAAAGGCTGGATCAGGATGAATGAAATAAGCCTTTGACCCTTAAGACACATGAGGTGGAAAATGCAGGTACCCATCCTTCTAACCCAGCTGGGAAAGAATGTTTGAGAGGAAAGAAAACCATGCATCGCCTGCACCTCAGCAAGCTGTCATGTGTGCTGATGTGCAGAATCAGCAGCTCACACAGGCAGGTGCAAAAGGGGCTTCTGCTTTGTTACAGTGTGTGTACCTGGACTTACATGTGCACCACCAGCACTCATGTACAGTATGCTCATATACACACTGCTGAGAGGTTTAGGAACTTTTGCTGGAGTTATGACGTGTGCTTGTTATGGATGTGTGTTAACCCTTATGCCCACAAGAAGCTCTCACATGAAGAAACAAAGAAAGCTTGGTTTATTATACAAGGTGTGACCGGAATATTCGGTGAATGGTCACAGAAATTGGACAGCGAGAAATATTCAAACATACATACCTTACAGGCCTTCAAAGTAGGCCCCCTCTGACACAATGCACCATTGACAACATTAGTACAGTAGAACTGTTGGAAACATCTGGAGAAGTCCTCTTTTCGTACTGCTTTCAGTTCCCTTGCACCTTGGAAGTGTGAAATGTTGAAAAATCTGTGCCCTTTCAGTGCAAATTTCAGTTTTGGAAAAAGAAAGAAATCTGGTGGGACAAGATTAGGAGAATATGGAGGATGGGACAACTCAGTAACCTCAGTAACAATTTCACATGGAATATGAAATTCTTCCGCCATCATTCGGACGGACAAACGCCAATCCCACATCAATAACTCATGAACTTTGTCGAAATTTGCCGCCGTTCTGCTCGTCGACAATCTGCCAGACTGAGGGTCATTTTCAATGGTTTGCCGCCCTTCACGGAAACACTTAAACCACTCATACACTGTCTTTCGAGTTACAGCTTCATCTCTGTACACAATTGTGAGCATTTTGTGGGTTTCCGATGCTGATTTACCCAATTTGAAACAGAATTTCATATTGACTCTCTGCTCCATTTTCAATCACAATGCACTGCACTATTAACAGCTACTAAATGCTACGGCATGAACGTAGGCCTGTTAACAAATGTCAAGACACATGCACATATGTTAGCTGAAATACGGATGAATGCCTCCCACATGTCTCCGCGAATCCAGCAGTTCCCATTATTGCATACAGGGGTGATTCACCCTACTTTCTGGTCACACCTTATATAAAACAGGAGCAACAGAATATATAAAAATGCTGCTTTAGACAGCAAAGTTACAGTCTAAGCAGGTAGAAAATTACACTACATACACACTTTGATTAGAGATTCCCTAACTATTCCAAAGGCCTACAGAAGCACGGGCATGACAATTTTGCCATAATCCCACACTAGAAGGAGGGTAGGGGTGGGGAAGGAAAGCATACCTGTCCTTAAAGCAAAGCAGACATGTTCTCTGGGTTAAGTGCTGTCCTGTTGGAGCTGTGAGAGCTAACAAACCTTTGAATCTAGGTTTTTAAAATACCTTTATGCCATGATGTACGGAGATAAACCACATCATAAATTCAGATTCCCACACCCCTCTTTACAGCTTCGGCACATAGGTAAATCTCTCGGAAGATATGTGTGTGTGCGTGCATTTGTGTGCACGCACTCACAGAGATACATGTGCGTGCACATAGATTCACAACCTGTTCTCTGTTTAGCAAAAAAGGTGGCAGAAGGGATGTATTGTGCACAAGAATTTTTATGGAATGTTGCGGCTTTTCCCCCACAGTGTTCCTGCATGGGTAAACATAGATCTCACAAAGAAAAGGCAGCATCTAGGTTGCAGGCACATTTACATTTTTGGAACTATTGAATTCTACAGCTGGGAGGTGTTAACATCTGTGGGACAGCTCCTGCACACTCCTGCACTAGCAAAATGACCTGCAACCAAAGCATTCCTGGCAGGTCAAGCATCCTCTTGAAAACAGACCAAAGAACTGCAACAGCGACCTTTCTAGGCAGCTTGATCTGTTTCTATACTGTGTTTATAAGGCTGATACTACACTGTTACATATCGCAAATACTAGTAAGGAAAACCCATACAGTAGGGTTGTCATACGTCTGGGAAAACCTGGACATGCCAATCCAGGCGGATTTTCACATTTTTAAGGAAATGTCTGAGTTAGGGGGGGGCACTCAGGCAGCTTGGACTCGGGCTGCTCTGCACACCGCAGCTGCTGCCAGCCCGAGTCGGGGAAAGAGGCACACGGGGAGCAGCAGAGGCCTCGTGCACCCATGTGTCTCTTTCCCCGGCTCAGGCTGGCAGCGGCTCGGGCTGCCCTCTTTTTTGCTCTTCAATATATGGCAACCCTATCATACACTCACCTTCACACATGACATTAGAAGTTCTTGCACTTCTTGATCTGAAATGTTGGGAGAGTGTTCTTTTAACTTCAAAATGCCGTCCCCCATGGGAGTAAGTTTGGTTGCTTGTTTCTTTTTAAAAACTGATTCCAGTTTAATAAAGATGCTATTTTGAATAACCTTCTCCAGCTTTCCCTAAACCTAACAAAATTGGTTGATTTGAGCATATGTAACATCAGTTATGACAATGATAAAGAAATGAATGAGAAGCTCTTTATGATCTACTGGGATCAGATAGCCCAGCTAAACCCAAAATACTCCCAAGAGTGACAAGAGGATCAATATATGTAGAAAATTCCCTAATTGCTACGAGGTTCTCATTCTAGCAATGTGGAATTCATTTGTCCTGGACTCTGAACACCACCAGTGGAATCTGGAATCATTCCATTACATCTATTAAACTTAACTGGTGAAAGGTGCCATTCATGTAAAACTTTAATCCCCCCTTTGATTAGTTGCAATGCAGTTACTTATTTTATTATGAAAAACAGATCCCCTCATTGTCCTATAATTTCCTCCCTACAATCCTATTTCCTCTCACCTTCAACTTTTGAATCTATTCCTTGTTTCCTCACTCCTGTTTTAAGTCATTTTACTGACTGTACATTTGTTTACAATATATCAAAAGAAATTAATTTATGTTAGCACAATATATTTTTCAACAAGTTTTTTTTTAAAGGATAGCTTAGTTGGTTAGAGGGGTTTTTAATCCCATCCATCTTTTGACATGTTTCTTCACACTGTAATAAGGCTCCATGATGGAGAAGGTTCGATGTGAAATAAAAATTGTTTGTCATTCTCTTTTGCTTCTGTGTCATGTCTTTTCAACTGTCAGCATCCAACTACTTGTGGACTTTTATAGCACACAATAAACAAAGCTAATCAGCATAACACAACCATAAAACAGCATAAAAATACTGTTCAATGGAGTCTCACAGATGGGTCTCTCCTGGGAATTTGTGGTAGCCCAGAGATTATTGTGGGGTGTGCATACCTCTAGTTTCTTATTCTTTATTTTCTATCTCATTTAGAAATTATTAGCATGAAGTAGCCATGCTTGGCAATGGGCTTGTCCACACTTTCCTTGGGAAAACCCACTCTTTACTGCTGAATCAGAGCACACATCAGTTGGGCTTTTCGTACATTGATGTATCCTCTGATTCAGCGATAAAGAGTGAGTTTTCCCAGGGGAAGTGGTGGGGCAAACAGAAAACCACTTGGTCTCGTGCTTTCTAGGCGTGAGACAAGCAAAGTGTGGACAAGTCCAGTGTCTTACACCAAAAGGAAGGAAACATTGGGCAAGACACAAATCTCCTAGAGCAGTGGTCTTGAACTGGTGGGTCAGGAGGACCCAATATTAGGTTATGGCATGATCTAAGGTGGGTCACAACAGCAGTGTTACCATCATGTAAATATATGGCCAAAAAAAGCCATAAGAAATGGGTCCCCAAATGCATGTTTGGCTTGAAGGGGGGTCCTGAATTTGAACAGGTTGAAGGCAACTTAGAGGACGCTTTCCTGATGCATGTGCATTTGTGATGACCCAAAGCTTAGCATACCTGGAGTTACTCATTTTTTGGTCACCACACATTAATGAGCGTTTCCAAAACGAAAACTACAGTGGTTTTGAACGGAGAGGTTTCCTTCGTTGAAGTCAACAGGGCAGCTTCCCAGTCACCAAGACGAATCATACAAAGCAAATTTTGGGGTGCACCTTTAGTTTCCTACCAAGTTTAACAACGAGGCTGCTTCAAACTTTACTGGTGAATAAGGAGCTGGAAAAAACAGTAACTGACTTCAGAACGGCATGAAAACGTCCATCATGACATAAGTCATGATGATGGTGGGAAAGATTTGCCTTAAGTTTATATGTATGGTGTTCAGGAAGTTAGGCCAACAGGCAATAACAGGGGCCAGGGCCGACCCACCCATGAGGCAAGGTGAGGCGACTGCCTCAGACAGCAGGATCCACAGGGGCACCAGAGCCAGCCTCCAAGAAATGCATCACCCACTGCTGCTGTGGTGCACACATTGAAGGCCAGATTTGCTCCCCCTCCATGCCGCCTCCACAGTTCTCTTTTGGTCAATAGGAGGCACTGTTCGTCTCCTCCCTCCGTTTTCCGCCTTTCCCCCTTCTTCCTTTGAGGTGTGGGGGGGGGGCGGTGGGCGCCATTTTGTGGTTCGCCTCAGGTAACTGTGGCCCAAGTCAGGTTCCATGTCCACTACGCCACACTGACTTTAAATGCATGAGGGAGAAAAGGGGGGAAAATCGTTGCACTGTTACATGCTGAGTGCCAGCAAACATCTAACAAACGATTAACGAAGAAGAACGATAACATTTAACAAGCGCCTACAAAACAAAACGTGCAATTCAATCAATCGCGCTGGCGTCGGGTTCATTGGCCCAGCACCACGCCCATCAACGCCATTCCTCACGTCTATTGGTGGAACTGAGCGATGCGCCCGCCCTCGCTTTTAAACCTGGGAGATAACAGTTTGTGCTTTTGAAGAGCGATGTGCTGTTTTTCGGCTTCTTTTTTTGTTCATTTGTTCGAACGCTCAGACTTTCGTTCCGATTGGCTGCGCGAACTCTCCTTCCCCGCCTCCTTAACCCGTATTTCCCTGTGCCGAACGGCGATTGGCCCGGCAGCTAAAGAAGGCCGGCGGGGATTGGTCGCGGCCGTTTGAGCGGGCTGAGGCGACGCTTTTCGAAAGCGCGCTCTCTCTCTCTCCGTGAAGCGTTTCCTGCCGCCTTTGTCCGGCCTCATTCGCAGCCGCTTGGCTGAGGGAAGGTGGTTGGCTCTGTTCACAGCGCTCGGTGACTGCAAGTCTGAGGCACTAGGCCGCTGCTCCCCTCTCAACGGCCGCTTCCCACCCCCACAATCCCCGCTAGCTCTGTTGTTTCCTCTACACCCCTCGCTCCGACCGGGTCCACCATGGACTTAGAAGACTCCTTTTCCCCGCTCAAGGTGAGTCTCCCCCCCAAAAAAAAAACCCCACACCTTTATTTCACACACTCGCCTTCTTACCGTCTTCCCAGCCCCACGTAACTCAATATCGACT